GAGAGTTAAGCTTGAAATCCTCAAAAAAGATAAGAAGAAGGAATATTCTTCATTACCACAAACAAGAACAACTCTTTCTATATTAAATATCAAAARATTAACACAATAATTTTATAACAAAATTACCTTCAAAGCCAATYAAGATTTCATGTTTCATGGGATTGTAAGTCACCGCTGTRATAGCTTTGTTATGTGTGTCTTTTATCATCGATAACTTTTCCATAGCCATCTTAAAAATACCCRAGCRGGACCCTCTAGGMCTYGCAATGCTCSTGSTAATCCTTATTAAYTCTWAGGCATTGTTTAGAYTACGAGAARAAAGCAAAAAGACAACAAMATTTTGGATCTTTCAACTTCGCGCCATCCGCCATGTTGAATTTGATGGTTACTATGGTGACGTAAGGTTGGGATACAGGGAGCCCAATCTTTGTTTTTATTTCTGCCCGACAATCACAAAATTATTCTTAAAAGCACTTGTTATTTTTACATCCTTTTTAAAACAATTATTAATGGATATAAGCAAGAGAATATTCTCTTGATACTAGATATCATTGCTACTGCCTGATGGAGTTATTAAATATTTTTACTTGCCTATTTCTTTCTTCTATTTTTTATTTTATTTTATTTTTTCTTTTATTRCTCTCTTTCTTCCCTTCTTTCTTTCTTTCTTTTGGTTCTTCCATTCATCGTTTCACTCATTCATTTTTCCTTTCCTCTTTTATTAGCACCCTTTTAATTCCTTTCCCATACTTTCCCACTTATTTTCTTTATCTTCTATATTTCTATTAAACTGTATTAAATTCTATTAAATCAATCAATCAATCAATCAATGCTAATTCACAATAATGTATAATTTATTTTTTCCCCCTTTAAATACTGTATTTTGGGCTTCTAATTAACCCATACAACTATAAAGATTAAAATTAAAATTAAAATCAATCAATCAATGTTTATTCACAATAATAATTTAATTTTTTTTAAATACTGATTTTGGGCTTCTAATTTATTATAACATTATGAAAATTAAAATTAAATTTATAGCTTATTAATAGCACTATTAAAAAGGTTCAAATTATTCCCARTTGTAGTTGCGATGATACCGATCAAGTTAAGTTAAACAACAAATCTTTCTCTTTTTTTATTGCTCTTTTTTATCATTTAAATAAAATGTTTTTAAAATAATAGGCAACTCCATCCAAATCGCCATCGAATGTGCATTCGCCTTCTCTAACACTGGTCTGGTCTTCATCTTCATTGTCAAAATCAAAAGATACCAATGCTTGAACAGGATCATGATCAAAAACCTGTTTTCTTTTCTCGGCTTCACCACCTACAACATACTTCTGCTTATTTGATCCTATGAATCCCGAAAGSGGAAAATCAAATAATTGTTGGCGAAGTTGTACCTTTATATTTATGTACATATAGTCACCAAAAGCTCTTACGTCTGAGAGGTTTACATCACGCGTTACCACAAAGAAGTCGATTATAGTTTTCCGGTTTTGAAGGTCGTATTCATAAACTTCGAGACCTTGTTCTTCAATAGAATCCGATACGCTGTCAAGAGTGATGTTAAAATCTCCACCAAGTACCACTGGCAGTTTGGTTTTGGAATT